GTCTTCCGGCCTTTAACTGGGCCAACATTTCGTGGCTACAAGCAGTGTTTCTCCTCTGGAGCAGGGCTGTTCTTTCTCTTCCCTGTCCAGGCTGGGAAGGTTTTTCTATTTTAGAGCTGAGCCAAGTTGGAGAAGCAGCAGGTGGGGTTGGGGGAAAGAATATGAAGTGTTCACACAGTCCACGCTTCCAAGGTATGTTGGACTGCACCACCCGTCATCTGGCTGGGGCTTATGAGGTCAGGAAAAGCTAAGATAGTCCTTCAGGTACACACAGCCTATTAGATTTAGCCCATAAAAAAAATAAAAATAAAGGTAACACGCATGCATTCTGAACTTTAGTTCTGCATTCACAGAAGAAACAGGAGGCCTTGTAAGACAATGAGGTGCATTGGTTAGAAGTGAAAGTGAAAGAAGCTGGGTCAGGCTACCATCCTGGTCGGTCGCTGTGGCCAACTAGCTGCTGACAGGATCCCACCAGTAGGTCACAAGTGCAACAGCCCCTTCTTGCCCATGCTCCCCAGCAAGAGGTGCGGAGCCATGTGAAGACTACTAGCCATCTAAGGGCTGATGGAAAAGGGGTTCAGCTCCCGTGGAGTGACCTGGGGCCACATCACTCGTTCTAAAGGGGGAGAGAGGTTTCTACAGTGATAACGCAGAGAAGAGGGCATTATCCATCTCTCAGACTCTAGAGGCCACCCTTTAAAAGGGCAGAAGCTTGATTCTGGGCAGACGACAGACGCCTGCAGGACGGTCTCGGGTGAGCCTCGCAGTGGGGGTTTCCATCTGGGTCTCTCTGGCCCAGTCTGTCACACAAGGCCAAGTGGGCGTAGGGTGTAGCTGCTCGACCCTCCGTGGGTGGGTCTCAAGGCAGGGATTCTGACATGCACCCAAGTCTTCTGCAGGCTGGCATCCCGCAGAAGTGTAGCTATTGCAAATACAAGTACACTCCATTTCTTAACTACATTATAGCCAAAGCTCTCTTTTTAGGTCGGTTTCTGGAATTGTGAAACAGTTGCAAATCAGAAAGCTTTTGTTCTGTTGCATAACATCCAGTGGTTCCTCATCAAGTTTCTTCCATGTTCTAGACAAACTGCTTATTGTTTGGTAAAATTGTACCACTTCAGAACCGAAGTGGGTGGTTGACTGATGAAGTGATTCTTCATGGAAACACTCTTTCCCCAGAGACAGGCAGAGAAAAGCAACATGGCAAGGGAGAGAGACACACTCCCTGATCTCTCGTTTTCTCCATGCCAAGTTTTAGTTTAATGCATCGTGGCATTCGATCATGCAAGCACCCGTCTCAGCCTAAAAGAGCTCAGGAAGAGGATCCTACACCATGCATTGCAGTAATCCAAGTGGAATGCAACTAAAGTGTGAAAGTAGCAATTGATCGGCAAATACAGATCAATCACAAGATTAATCCGTAGCGTTCTTCCCCACCTATTTACTCTCTCGGCATGGACTGGACTTCTGGCTAAAGGAACTTACCCAACACAACACTGGCCCGTGGCATAAGTTCAAAGGGCCACTGCAACCAAGAAATTTGAACAGGACTGAGACTTGGAAGGGCAGCGATGAAGGAACTAGGAAATAGCATCAAATGAAGGGCTGTTTCGCTGAAGACCAAGGCCAAAAACATGCACATCCTTGTATTCCCAATCACTTTGTATGGGCATGAAAACTGGACATTGGAGAAAGGTGACAGGAAAAAACTGGATCCTTGCAAAACATGGAGAGCTTTGTGAATTCTCTGGTCTGACAGAAAGACCCACGAGTGGGTCCGAGATCGAATCAAGCCAGAGGCAAAAATGACAGACCTGAGGCTGTGATACTTTGGGCACACCATGAGATGGCGGGACTCCCTGGAGGAGACCATCATGCTAGGGAAAGTTCATAGATCATTGAATAGTAGAGTTGGAAGGGGCCACGAAGGCCATCAAATCTGACCCCCTGCTGTTGCAGGACACCAGTTTACACCATCCCACTCAGATGGCTGTCCAATTTCTTTTGGACTATCTCCAGTGTGGGAGAGCCCACCACCACTCAGCTGGTTCCCTGTTGTGTTGCTCCGACAGTGAGGAAGCTTTTCCTGATGTCCAGCCTGAATCTGGGTTGCCCAACTTGAACGGATTACTCCGTGTCCTGCTCTCTGGCATCAGCAAGAAGAGAGCTTGACCTTCCTCTTTGTGACAGCCTTTGAGGGACTCATAGAGGGATACAATGAGACTTACTTCTAGGTAAGTCGGTCTGTGACTGCAGCCATAAGGTATAAGCCTATGAATGTTTAGATAGAAAAAATGGCCTACAGGTCCCAGCATGCACCAGACAGCCATTTTTCGCCCTTTTTCTGTCTAAACAGGCATAAGCTTGTGTCCTTAACCACTGTGTGTGTGTTGCCAGAAGCGCTAATGTTCTTTTTGTAATTACTACACTCACTGAGCGAGATTCTAACACTGACAATTGATTTACTATGTTTGTGTTAAGAATGCAATTATCATCAAAGTCCTACGGTGATTCAAAGGGTATCACATAGTTCTAGATATATGACTCTCTGATTTATTTAATGGATTTTAAATATGTACAAAGGTGCTGTCACTGTAATTAGCCTTTTAGTTTGACATGTTGTTGTGATGTACCATCAAATCGTCTGACATGGAGCATCCCTATGAATGAGTGTCTTTCGAAATATCCTGTCCTTGAAGGCCCAGCTCAGCTCTGGTAAGCTCAAGGCTGTGCTGCCTTCGCGCGGATTTGGTCCATCTCTTGCATGGTCTTTTCTTCTGCCGTGGACTTTCCCTAGCACTTAATGCACAAAGAATTTAAAATCTAAGAATGTGTGTAGATTATACCCATATAACACAGACACACACAAAACCAGAACTTCCAGAACTCCTGGTTGCCAGATTTCTCCAGTGAAAATTATTTACCTGCTTCTTCAGGTCAAAGCTCAACAGTGTATTTCCCAATAATTCTGAGAATGTTTAGCATGCAATATAGCATTTTACTTAGCTAAACGGACTTTACAAAATTAGTCCAGTAATCTTAATGATTTTAATAGCAGAGTAGTAATATTATCCCTAAAGTGTCCGGGTGGAATCATTGCTGCATTACTCTCATTCCGTGTCATACTTCTTTCAACAGAATTTCATGCTTTCGCTACTTATTTGCATCATGTTGTGTTCACCACAGTACAGCTGATGGGTGCAGTAATTCAAGCCATCTGGAGGCCACCAGGTTGGGGGAAATTGGTCTGAACGGAGACATACAGCATAGCTTGGCCTTTTGGAGGATAAACAAACTTGCCTCTGTCTTAACCGGAAATATGCCAAAAGGGCCTACAGAGGCGGGGCCTTCTTGGCAGCAGCCACAGAGTTGTAGGACTTCCTTCTTTTTGACAGTTGTACGGTCCCTTTGATATAAGGTCCCTTTATTTAATATATTTCTGTACCGCTACTGCCTAGATCGGCTGCTAGAGAATTGCCAAAAAGAGGATTGTTGTTAGTTGCAAAGTCATGTCCGACCCATCGCGACCCCACAGACAACATTCCTCCAGGCCTTCCTGTCCTCCACCCTCCCCCGGAGTCCACCCAAGCCCTCACCCACCCACCCCAGTGACCCCATCCAGCCCCCTCATATGCAGTATAGATCTTTGCAGCATCGGACTCTCCTTTCACCACCAGATACATCCGCAACTGAGTGTCCTTTTGGCTTTGACCCAGTTGCTTCATTCTTTCTGGCGCTACTAGTACTAGCCCTCCACTCTTTCCCAGTAGCATATTGGACACCTTCCGACCTGAGGGGCTCATCTTCCGGGATCATATCTTTTTGCCCTTTGGTACTGTCCATGGAGTTTTCATGGCAAGGGTACTGGAGTGGGTTGCCATTTCCTTCTCCAGTGGATCACCTTTTCTCAGAGCTCTCTGCTATGACCTGTCCGTCTTGGGTGGCCCTGCATGGCAGAGCTCATAGCTTCATTATGCACCACCAAAGGGGGACACTGACTGGCATAAAAATATGCCACAGTTATACAGATCAGGATCTTCTTTGGGTGATATGTTCCGACGAAAAATTAGGAAGAATTAGTAGTTTAAATAGATATACAGTATATCGCACCCTAACGTGGAAGATGGAGACCCGGGTTCTTTGCCCAGTTTCTGGAGCAGGGGATGTTGATGGGCAGCTTCACGGTGCCAGCAGCTCTTCCCTTTACATGCCCCGAAAGCAAGCCTGGACTGGAGAGCCCTTCGAACAGAGGCTTTCAGAACGGTGGGCCATCCTCTCGTAGCCCTTCCTGCAGAGGAGTCTCCTGCAAACGGCGCAAGGCCCTCTCATGCAGCATCTCTCTCACCTGCTTGCTATCCATTACTCTGTGAGGCCCTGGCTGTAATAAACGGCTTATGAATCCTTTGATAAATATGGATGTGCATTTTTAACAAAGCCCCGTGTGTTCCAAGGGGGGGCGATGGAACTGCCAAACACCTGTATCCCTCTGAAGGGTGAAGCGGACCTTCCTTCACAGGTCCCAAAAGAAAGCGTTCCTGTTCCCATGGAAAGTATCTCCTTTGCTGAATATCCCAGTGCTGGACGATGATGAGGTCGCCCGTCCACCAGGACTGACCACCACCAAAGGAAGGGCTACGAGAGGATGGCCCAACATCACCGTGTCTCCCACTGGCAAAAACACCCCTATGGCCAGAAGCTCCCAAAATGTGGAACCGGCTCTGAAAGGGAAACAAGAAGCCCCTTTAACTGCAGGGTAGGTCTGTAGTTCAGTGGTGGTACACTGGATATAGGAAAGCTCAGGCTGGATTCCTGGCCTCCCCAGGATGGCCATGAGAGACCTCTGGTTGAGCCCCCTGAGACCTGCTGCTTCTACTGGAGAGGAGCAATGCTTCCAGCCAACACAAGGCAGCATCCTCTGCTCTCCTGCATGGCCAGAAACGCTCCCTCCTCTCAGGCGTGCAATGTCAAGTCAAAATTCAAGGATGCAAAAACAGAGGTGTTAAAATGAAAATATTTAATTTGTTAAAAAATAGTTCATATTCACAGGGAAAACACACACACAGAAAGAGGTTGTGATTGTGAAAAGCAAGCAGATGCAATGATTTGATGTGTGGTTGGTGTCTTCCTGCACCCCCACCCTTCAAAATGTGTCTGCACCAGAAGAGTCTGAACTCCCGTGGATGGAGCTGAAGCTCTGGTCCTCCATGCTGGCCGACGGCACCTTCACGGCCATTTTTGCTGGGCCAGGTAGGGCTTGTGGCTGGGCTGGGGTTTCCCTTCCTGAAAGAGAGAGCTGCGCATCACACGCCACACTAAGAGTGCCATGGGCCGCGTCGTCACCTGCAGAGTCGTTGCGTTTGTGGCCAGAGCCAGGGCCTCGTGCAGGGACTGCTGCGTTGTTGAGTCTGTTTTTCCTGGATGTGTGATCAGACATCTGTTAGCCACCCACACTGCAAGTAACTTCCACGAGCAGCCATACCAGAGAGAGGGGAAGGCAGGAGGGAGAGAGCGCCTTCCCGACTCCAGAAATAGGAACTGGAGTATTCAGTTATTCCAACACAACCATCTGGATTACAAGCATCCGTGGCTTTAACAGCCAAGACCACACGTTCTTTTTATCTCTGGATTTCATCTGTCCTGCAACCCCAGACTACTAGGTTGCAATGCAAGCATTCCAATTCTGGTTTCCAATTCTGTTCTGGAGGACAAACCGTATTTGTTTGTTCAGCTGTAACGGGAAACTGTGACTCGTGTGAACAAGGGAGCGAGGGACCTGAAGCATGCAACGGGGGCATGGGGGGAAAGCTTGCCAAACTGTATCTTGCCATTACATGAGAAAGGCAGTGTGGTGTAGTGGTTAAAAGTTGGACTGGGACTCAAGTGATCTGGATTCTAGTCCCTGTTCGGTCATGGAGCTCATTGGGTGACTTTGAGACAGTCACAGAGTCTCAGCCCAACGTACCTCACGGGGTTGTTGTGAGGATAAGATGGAGAGGAGGAAGAGACTTCTGTAAGCTGCCTAGAGCTCCTTGGAAGGAAAAAAGGTGGGATATAAATATAATAAATAAAAAACTAAACTGGCCCTGAGCAAAGGCAGGTCCAGATCTTGCGTGACGAGGCTGTTGTGCTCCAGGATGAACTGATGCTCAATGGAGGCAGCCTAGCTTGGGGCAGAGCAGGTCCCCAGTCGAATTCCTGGCACCTCCAAGCAGGACAGGGAACCCTCTGGCCCACACCCTGCAGCGCCACAGGTACCAGCCAGCGTTCACAGCACCGCACTGGATGAGCCCACGCGAGGCAGCTTTTATATTCCTGCTGGCTTCATATTCTGACTGCTCTCACTGGATCCCAGCAGTATCGAGGCATCCTGTTGAGTTGCCTATTGGCCAGCCCACGTCTCTTCCTGCTTGGCTACGTATCTGGTGGCCCCTTGGCCAGAAGCTCAACCAAAGCTACCTGAAATTAACCCCCAGAGGAGGCAGCAGCTGCTCAGGGACCGATGGCGCCCCCTTCCTAGCGCAGACTCATGGAGAAGGGCTCAGCTGAGAACGCTGCAGGCCAGAGAACAAAACCAGATGTCTCTGGTGGAGTGTGCATTGCTATCAAGGCTCACTAAAGTAATCATCTTCCTGCGCTCGTCGACAGGCATAGCAACCAGCCCTTTCCCCTCAATTCCAGAGGGATAATATTTGCCAACCGCTTCCCTGCTTAATTCACTACTGCGACTATGCCGTGGCAGCTCGGATCCACGTCGCCTGCACCGTCTTGTGCTTTAGAGACTACCAATTAGCTGATCAGTCTTTGCATAAAAGCTTGTCCTCCACAGATGCGTACTGAAGAGGAGCGTGCTTTTCCAAGAGCCCCAGCTGCCTCCTGCCACCCTCCAAGCTGGGGCTCCACAGGTGCGGGGAGAGAGCTCTTTGGTGGACGCACTGCTCCCCCACTCTCTGGGCCTTGATAAGGGCTCTCAAGGAAGGCTGAGTCCCTTATTTCACTGAGTGTTCGGCCTGCTCTCAAGACCAGGCACTGGGACGCCTGGCATTTCAGGTACTCAGCCGGGCAGCAAGCAAAGAGATCTCGAGTAGTTAGGAAGATGCTCAAGGGATTGCAGCTTCCTTGGAGAAACAGCAGAAGTTGGGCAACAGGACATGCCTACGTCTCCGTAATTCCATTCTAAAGATATTACTTTACAGCCAAAGGTGCCAATGTGCCACTAAAGAGCTGCCTTGAGGAAACCTCTTCCACTGGCAGATGATGGAATGCAGAGTTTGGTGGGCCGCCAGGAAGGCAACTTTCAGAGCAGGGAGTTCCTGGAGCGGCCCTGTGGACTGACACAAATCGTGAAGGAACGCAGCGATCCTCGGAGAGAGCACGGCTGAGTTCCTTTCCAGCAGGCCTCTGTCCCTTACTTGGCTTCCTCTTTGTAATCAAAAAGCCTGTGCCTTTGTACAGAAAGGGCTTCAGAACACCGGCCTGTTCTGGTGTGAGCACGTGCTCCAATTCTCTTTAGCTTTGCTGAATTCTTCCTTTTAAGAACAACTGGCATCGCTCACTGGCTGTGCAGTAAGAGAAAGCTGAGAGATCAAAATGCACAAACAGTTATATGGCTTACAAAGCTGGTATTAAAAAGCAATGCTTTCAGAAGGGCTAAGGAATCACACAGATGACGTTTACCCTCATAAATACGACCCGAGGCTTTCTGAGGTCCTAAGGGCCACTCCTAAAAGAATACTTAAGGCGACTGAGCAGTGTTCACTTGGACGGCTTTAACTGAAGCCAACAGAGAACGAAAGACATCCAAGAAGCCTCCAGCGCTGCAGACCGTCAGCATACACCGCCCCTCATCAATTTTACTATCTTCTTACACCAATTGGTTTCCCAACGGCGTCCTGACAAAGTCTGGGTTTCTTCTGAAACTTTCCAGGGTTCCTTCAGAAAACCCAGCAGACAAGAAATCTGGGGGTCATTGTGGATAAATAACAGAAAACACATGCTTGGCAAGTACAGCAGTGAAGGCATCGTCTATATTAGAAATTAATAGGAAAGGGAGTCAAAGAGGACATCCAGAATTATTCTACCATCCGATCTATGGTGCAGCTCACACTGGACCAGGAAGGCTATAGACAGCCCTTGCTTGTGCCATCTCTAGAAGGTAGAAGGTATCAACAGGGGAAATTGTGGGGCTGGAGAAGGTACTGAAAAGGTCAGTCAAACCTATCCGGAGGAAGCTTCCCTATTAGAAAGTCCTGGAATCATTGGCATTTTTTAATAGAGGTGACTCAATTTTTGTGTGGCTGGTAGTGCCAACCCAGATTTGGCTCCATATGCCTGAAATATGAAACGGGGGAGAGAGGGTGTGAGCGAGTATTGAGTGTATGTTTGTCTGTAAAAGAGAGATCAGCCCCTTCTTTGCCCTAGTGATCTTGATTTTCCTTGCTTTCTCTTTTCTGTGCAATGAGGAGCTGTTGAAGGAAAATGTGGCTCCAAAGGAGTGCTTTAGTACTGCTGGGAAGACCGCCTCTGCTCTGCAGGCGTGGTCCCCAGATTAATTTGCCTCGCCTTCCTTTTCCATGCAACGGGCTGCAGCTGCGGAAGGCTGGGACCTCATGGCTCCAGCTAGCTCAGTCTCCACCAAGGGTACCTGTGCTAACGGCAAGCAGTTCAGACAGGCTTGGATGAATCACTGATGTGACCCATCACTTTTGCAGCAGCTGACGGAGGGTGCAGCACCTACACCCTTTGTATGCCAGACTGGGCCAGAGAGACCCAGATGGAAACCCCCACTGCAAGGCTCACCCGAGACCATCCTGCAGGCTTCTGTTGTCTGCCCAGAATCAAGCTTCTGCCCTTTTAAAGGGAGGCCTCTAGAGTCTGAGAGATGGATAATGCCCTCTTCTCTACGTTATCACTGTAGAAACCTCTCTCCCCCTTTAGAACGAGTGATGTGGCCCCAGGTCACTCCACGGGAGATGAACCCCTTTTCCATCAGCCCTTCGATGGCTACTAGTCTTGAAATGGCTCCGTACCGCTTGCTGGGGAGCCTGAGCAAGTTTAAACAAAAAAGCTGAACAACTGCCCACGGAGCTGACGTCTACCACACGTGACCTTCCCTGCCGCGTGCAAGAGGAGGGAGTCTGGGACCCGTTCTGTGTTGTTTCTCCACTCGCACAGGGCAACTGTGAGGGCCAACCTGCCTGGCGAGCAGGGAGGCAAAGGGAGTGAGGGGTGCACTGACAGATACGCCCCGGGATTTCGGCCATGTGCAGGAGTTCCATCCCCGGCACAATGGCTTTGAGGCAGACAAGCGAGTGCCCGATAGAAAGGTTGAAAACCCTTGCCTCAAAATTACATGCCTAAATTGTATGACCTTAAATTACACTGGCTGGTCTTCCAAAGAATGGGAAGTTATAGGCTAACAAACCGAATTCCATTACATCACAGTTTAAACAGGTGTTTCCAGGTTTGCTAAAAATAACAGCAGTCCTGGAAAATGGATTTATAAGAACTGTGGCTCCACCTGTGGCTTTTGTAGTGGAGATTAAAAGTGCACATGGGCCCAGACACTTGCTCACATGACACACATGTTGTAGGACTAACAGGGGCAATTTTATAACGGGAAGAGTAAAATGGAAAGGTAGAAGGCCCTTTAACAGAAGGAGCAGTTCTTCAAGCCAAGAGGCTTTTCCAAGCCTTCTGGGGGACCAACGGCTGAGCCGCAGTTTGCTTTTAACTGGCTTGTGTTCATTTCAGCGGTTATCAGAATAACAGCATTTGTAACAGAGATACTTATAAACAGAAATGCCTATACATTCTCTGCCCGTCTGTCTCTCAACACACACCCCTATTTGGCAAAACACACACACATCGACTCTAGTTTAGCTAGGACTGTGAGTCATTTGTGGGAAAACATAAAAAGGCAAGGGTTGTACAACACGCAAAAGAAAAGTCGGATTCCGAGCACGAAAACTAAATCTGCACGGCTTCCTTGAAATAAGTCTCAATGAAACCAAAACTGGCATCTGAAAAGAGAGCAAGCCCATGCCTGATGCAATTTGAGACAGGAAAGAAGTTCTAGGGCTGGGGAACGCTGCGAACCACAGAACTCCTCTGCCTAAACCTGCATTGGGTGGCACCTTTAACGTTGAAACCGTCAGATGTGACCCTGCCTTGCTCAGTAGTGAAAAGGCTAGAAACACGGATTCTGCTCTTTCAAAAGAGAGGTAGTGAGTTGGCAGAGCTTCGGAGAGGACCGTGAGCCACCTCACTGTGGCCTCTCCACTGTGTAACCCCCGGCAGGCCTTCCAGTCCCGCCCTGCTTAGCATATTCAACCTGCTGCATGGCGTCTCTCTTCACCAATGTAAGAAGAAAAGAGCACAACAGGGACCCCACAGTTCCCAGACGGATAAATTCTCTTAATGGACTCCTGAAGGGAAAGTTGATTTTCTGATGCCAGTTTTCTTCAGTTGCTCAACAGCAGCATACAATGAAGCACAGCAATTGTTCGCATCAAGAACAATTCATTCCCGACAGACACTTTGCTGCTGCTATTCCGACCATCCTCTTAATACTGGTTTCATTTTCCCCATGGCCTTCCTGACTGATAGTGACGAATCACAGGAAGTGGTTGCGTGAATCACAGCATCATGATGTCAGCTGTTGGGTCAGAGAGAGGCACCCGGGCAAGCTAGGCCAACGGGCCCCAAACCCAGGGGAAGCAGGACAGTATGATGCACAAGGCTGCGCTTACAGTATGTTGAATTTGCTAAATATTCAAAGCAAAACGGATGGCTGCCTGCCTCCTGCACCCAGACATGCATTAAGCACAACGGGCGAGCGCTTGTGCCTTAAGTGGCCACACGTGCAGGTTCCCTTTTGGGAACTGTTTCAGAAAAACCACCCCACCTTTAATTTACTGCCGGGCCCCACAGAGGAGAGTGTCCCCCCCCCCATCCTTCTCAAGGTAGCAAACAGCAGCGGAGTTAATCCGCTGCAGCTCTCCCCTTTGCTTAACGCTTGTGTTTGTTCTGCTCTTCGGAAGTTCTGCGACGTGCGTGCTGGCAAAGTCGAAGGCACGCCGTCCCAGGTCTCCTTTCACAAGGGAAGGGTGTGCAGCAGCTCGGACTCCTTCTCCCAAGTGGGTCCGAGGAAGATATTGCCCTGTTGCTATGGGAAAGGGGCCCCCGGTAGCACCGCACAAAGCCCTGCTCCGCTGTTGGGGCCAGCTGGGAGGACGGCACGTGGAGCCCCGGATCCTAGCCAGCTCGTCCACCCTGCGCTCTTCCCCCACCATGTTCTCCAGGAAAGCTCAGTACATTATAGATTAAGCCCCCCCTCCCCACCACTGGCTCCTAGCCTTACTGCTTGAAATCTGTTCTCTTGCAGATTATTCCTAGTTTGTCTTTGGATACTTCCCAACCAATATGCGGGGGGAGAATATAGATCAAACTACCCATTTCACGAGTTCACAACCTAATACAAAAATAAAATTGCTTGGCTCTATAGAAAGAACACCTGGAAAAACAACCCTAGCACAGTATTTGTCTTCCATTAAGAGCAAGGCTGACACAAGCGACGCGTTTCTTCTGCTGCCAGATGCTGGCTGCCTTGCTTTATTGCGCGCTAACTTCAAAGTTTACGGGCCGTTGTCTTCCAGCGTCTCAGAGCCCTCCAGTGGCATCATCGCAAGCCCACTCCTCGGAGCTGTGAGCACACCTGCAGCCCCCTAATTCAACTTCTTAAACGCTTCCAGTAGGCAAGCGACAATTCTCTCTCTTGCTCTCTTTGACATCATCCCTCTGCTCCCTTCCTTTGTTCTTTCCCTGAGCAGTCACGCATCTGGGCGGTATTTATGGACAGGATGAGTCTGCGAAGCACAGAGCCCCCTGCTAGGAGACCCTTAGGCAGTGCTTGCCACAGAGCACAGGGAGGGCCGGTATGGTGCAGAGACTGGCATGCCGGACTGGGGCTTGGGAGATCCAAACTCTCATCACTGGAGGACTCTGAGCCTATCATGATGTACAGCCTAACCCACCTCGCAGGGTTGTTGTGATGATAGAGTGGAGGAAGGAACAACTAAGTGAGCAACTCAGGTTCCTTGTAAGAGGAACAAAGGTGGGATATAAATGTAATACGCCAACTGCATACGAATATGACCCCTAAAGCTTTAGAAGACACCAGCAGTGCACCAGGTGCTATAGAGGAATGCCAGTGTGCTTGCTCAGGTGTCTCTGCACCAGCCTTCTCCAGGTGAGTGCCCTCCAGCTCTGTAGGAATGCAACTCCCATCATTCCCAGCCAGCACAGACAAGTGGACAGATTGATGGGTGTTGTAGCCTAACACTTCTGGAAGGCAGCTTATCAAGATGCATACAGTGGAGCGTGGGCATAAGGTGGGCTGGGTGGAGGGAAAGAGCCCAAGAGCTAATGCTTGCGTTCCAGGGAGGATGCTCAGATGGTTGTGAAGGAAAACAGCACAGCCACACAGGGGAACGAAGGGCTCTGCCACAGAGAAAGGGGTCTGGAACTGGGGGAGGGGGGTGGACGCAAGCACATCTACCAAGCGGGGAGTGGGGAGCCGGTCCAGGACAGGTAGCAGAGAAGATGCAGAAGAAGAGCGAAAAGGTCCCTTGCGGTAAACGCGCTGGGCAGGAAGGGACCGGGATGGGAGCGGAGATGAGGGAAGATCTTGTGCATCGCTGCCGCATGTCTCCACACCGCCGTGGCCTGAGGACGACAGCTGAAGGGGCCCCAAGAACGAAGCATGTGTGCACCCAGAACGGACTGGGGGTCACCCGTGGCAGCCCTTCCCTGCAGCTCCAAGCAAAAGCTGCTGGCCAGCTGGCTTTGAAAGGGTGTGAGGTGAATACCTGGGGAGCCTTACTTTTCTCACCTGTCAGCCTGAGCAGTGTGCTTCCTGGGAGGCTACTCTCTTCAGAGGGCTTGGAGGTTCTGCCTGGCACAGGATTCTGGTGTTCCCCTCCCTGAGAATACGAGGAGGGGGGCTCGTCCCAATCCATCCCCCCTCGAGTTCCAGGCTCAGAATGCAGTCTTGACAATCCAGTATCAGAGAGGGCGGCAGTGCCAGAAATGGGGATGGTGAGTATGAGATTAAGATGTGGGCAGGCCACTGCTTGTTAAACATGAACACCATCACGTGGCCAAACACAATTACTAGGCATCGTTATCACCCGTCTGCAAAACTCACCTGAAACTAACGATGCGAGGTACACGCTGGGCTCCACCTGAGTCCGATCCATGTCTCCCTGGAGATCTGTTTACAGGGAGAAGGAGGCAATGTTACGTAACATCTGGGCACCAACAAGGGAAAGGCAATGCACAGAAGCAACAGAAAAGTCTCCATCTATGTTTTGCCACATGGCTGAAAGCAGGCCTGGACCTCTGCTGGAAGTGAACTCGGAGCCACGGCTGTGTAGCGGCTGGACGGAGGGAATCCAAGTGCTGGGCCTCATCTGCCATGTAGCTGACTGAGTGACTCTCAGATATCCTGCACCACAGGGTTGTTGTGCGGATAAATGGAGAGGAGGCGGCTCCCCTGCCTCTACAAGGCAGCGTAGAGATGCAGCAAGTACATCCAGTTTCCCAGGATGGGCTTCCTTGCCTTGTGTGCGAGGCGCTCCTTTTGAGATCCCTCCAGCAACTTTCGTCTTAGCTTTCATCGAGGGCAAACCCCATGTGTGGAGTGTGAGCGGGAGCTCGCGAGTCGGAAGGCCCCTCTCTACACAATGCCCCTTGCAAGGCTAGGCTCTGACTCGTCTTCCTGGGCTTTGCTTCTGGAGGGAGACCTTCTGGTCACGGGGATTCCCAGTCATGCGGTTCTGCTCAGCTACAGGCCCACCGCTTCTGCTGAGCCAGGCCAAGAGGCCAGGGCTGGGGAGTCCTTCTTGCAGGCGCCCATCACTCGCAGGGGGATTTAGAACTCTGCTAGGTACTGAAGCACTGTATATATTTATTTTATTTATTCATTTGACTTATATTCTGCATTAATTAGTCCAAAGAACTCTCTAAGCAGAGATTGGTTCTGCCTTGTTGTTCAGCCTTCTCCAATCTGCTGCCTCCCCCCCCCACCCCACCCAATTTGTTGGGATTTCAGCTTCCAGCATCCTTCAGCCAGTTTGGCTACTATGTTTGGTGAGCACAAGGCCAGCTGGAATTAGCAGGGTAAATACGAGGCCTGTGTGAATGCATTTTCTGGAAGAATGTAGGCAGCAACTGAAAACCACTGTGTGGGTAAGAAAGATCGGGGCCCAAGGTTATTGAGCTGAGCTAGTACCACCACTGGGAGCTTCCCATCTCGTGCAAGCTTTGCATATACAAAGGGTCGTTCAGGATTTCGTTCAAATTACTCCTGCAAGAGCTAGGGACCTTTTCAAGGACATGCAGACTCCCCAAATGCATGGGCCTGATAGCCTCATGATCCAAGTGGCCTCCTTCTGACCTTCCCAAGAGCAGCAAGGGCCACTGGTTGCAGTCAGGAAGAGAATGAGCCTTCACTGTCATAAACAAACTTTTATTTCTTAAAAATAAGAGATGCACACCCAGGTCATCACTACAGAACCAGGGCAGGGTGCCTGGCAAAGGTCAAGAGAGCATGACCCATAGCCACTGTCACTGAAGGGGGAGTACTTACTAACTCTTCTAATAAAGCAAAACATAACATCAAACCTTCAGTAAATAGCAAATTAGTTGCAAACTGGTCAGCACTTCCCTTTTCTGTTTAAAATAAATATTTGTAACTGTGATTTTGGAACGGGTCTTACTTAGGGAAGACTCTGTTGACATGCCGGCTGCTCTCTAAAGCACAGAAGTTACGATCTAGGAAGCGACACAAAGGAGACTGAGGAACCGGGTTTTATTTGATCCCAGCCATACCACCCAAAAGCCGTGCAAAAACCCACCGGAGATTCTCTGCCCACAACCTTCTGCCCCGTTTCTCAGGATGCCTCATGTGCACAGATCCCACCCATGCGGCTCTGCGCTGCCCTGGCATAGCGGCACTTCCTTTCCCAGACATTTCTGTTATCAGAATAGGGAATCCGTGGGGTCAGGTCCCTGCCTGGAGAAGCTTCCCATTTAAAATGCAACACAGGAAGGGGATGGACAGGGCAAGCAGAAAAGGGAAAGGGGCCTTTGCCACAGCCAGCAGGAAGCTCTTTCGCCGTGGAGGCCTATTTTTTCTGTCACATTTTCAGCCGGCCTCTCCTCCAAGATGCTCAGGTGGCTTGCACGGCAGAGAAGGTTCGGGCCAGAGATCTTCGTGGTTGAGTGGGGATTTGAATCGGGGTCCCTCGAGCACAGCCTGGTACTCCAAGCCTTCTACCGCACAGGATTTTTTCGTCCCCACAGGTATTCCTCTGGGTTAGTCCCACAGAGAGTGGGAGCACTGAAATGAAAGGGATGTCAGCTAGACTAACCCTGTTATTCCACCTGGGGACATCCCTTCATGACCGAGCCACTAGGAATTCATTCTTCCTCAACGGTTATGGCCAAGAATGGGCTGGTGGCAGAACAACCTCTGGGAGACTCGATAACCTCCATGTCTTATGCAGTCGTTTAAAGCCAATGCTTACTGAAAATTATTTCCGTTTCTAATACAGCATTCTCCCATCAAGGCTGCTGCCCCAGGGACTTCGGAAACAATTCTCCCAGAGTGCTTTCAAGATGGTTTTCCAAGAACGTCTTCTTGGAATTTACATGTGAGGCTATGACATATTTATGATAATGTGAGGAATTTAATGGTGTGAAAAGGTCTGTACCTCCACTGCCTTTACAGCAGACTGCTGAAAAATTGCTTTCTGGGCTAAGTGCCAGCACTTTCAAAATTACTCGCAAGCATCTGGGACGGGACTGGAAAGACCTGTCAATAAACAAGAAGTTTCCTATTCTCCTTCATGGATCATGACGCACGATACTGCGGCGGGGCGGGGAGAATGGGATGGGTCTCCACACAGGAAGAGCAAGATTTGCAAAGGGTTCTCTGCTAATTCATTGATAAATAATCTAGAGTTAGGATTGGGCAGGGAGGTATTCAGACTGGTGAAAATCCAAGCCGAGTACAACAAGGCCCCCAAAATGCAAACATTCATATTGTGTTTATCATGACAAATTTTATAGTTTTAACTGTGGTCAACCACCTAGAACACTTTGGCTATTGGATGAGTGCAATGGAGAATTATAAAGTTATGAATAGTGTCAAAGAAACAGGATTTTTTCCCCTGCCCTTCATGTAATACCAGAACTCAGATCACCTCGATGAATTTAGCAGGCTCCGAAGTTAAGGCAGCTCTCAAACAACAAGCCAGAAAGGCTTTGGAAACCTTCCAGCCCAAGGCTGACTGTCTGAAGGACACAAAAACACAGTGTGCTCTCTGGGCAATTTGTCCTGTTGATGTAAAAATCGACTGTTCTGGGAAGGGCAGACTCTGATCCAAGCATCCACCCCACAGAGGATGGGTTCCCCACTGCTGGGAAGTGGGCCTGATGAGCACTTGGCTTCCTCATGAGCTCTGGCTGCTACCAGAAAGAAAGACAGGTAGCTCACCTGCAGGTGCAATTTTTCCAATGGTCACCTGTGCATTCACATATATGGGCTTTGCACTGAGCCCTGTTTTGTGAAACTCCTATAACTGAGGAATTTGGGCAGGAATGATCTCCACTACCCCAGGATGCATGTCCCTAGCGTACCTCCGATTAGTTCAAGGAGGCTGATGTTATAGCCTTGGCACCAAGACGGATCTTTGGTAGCCACATCAAACTTGAGGGAGCAATGGGCGAGTTGTGTGAATGCACAGACCAGCACTCAAAGAACTACAGCCACAGATGAGTAACCTCCTTTGTGAATTATCCATATGGACAGCCGCAAGTTGGCTTACCAGAGGAGGGTCATGTCTTACTGCAGAACAGAAGGACTGCACACCAAAGGAACAGTCCCCCTGAGCCCAGACTCCCAAAAGCAGTGAGTGACAGCATGCAGCCTCGATCTGGCTGCAGCCCTGTGCAGGTCAGGGATGGATACCCTACTGAGCTTGACCGATGTCGCCACCATATGGACCATGTGAGCTGGGCAGGCGGTCTGAGCGTGGTCAGCTCAGCTTGACTGTTTTGGTGACCCACAAAGCAAGATGTTGTGCTAACTGGTAGCTCTGTGGGTGTGCCATTGTAGCAGGTGAGCTGACTAGGCACTGCTGGAAAGACTCAGCCCTTGATTTGTAAAGAGCCAATGCCCAGGGAGCCCTCAGGATACAAAGGGTCAACTCCGGTGGAGCAGATGGCAAAGGAGTACCAGCCAGAAGGAGGATGCTTCTGTTTGGACAGAGGTCCCGCAGCCCCTCGGGGGGGAGCTGGCATCAGGAAAGAGACCCACATGAGGCAAGGAGGATCTGCGCAGGGGTGCACAGCATTCCCGGCTGCTGTGCTGATGTCATGGCCACCAGGAAGGGGACCTCCTAGGAGGCAAAGCTCCACTGTTACTAGCAGCCTGCAAACCTGAGAAGCCTGCAGAATGGCAAAAGGGCTCCACGGAAGCACAGGAAGGGGGCAAACCAGGGCATGTGAGGCCACCAGAGGGTGACGGCACTGCACTGTGTGCCACCGTGCCCATCTTTGCCAGGACCCCGTTGACTAGTGGGACGCTTGGGAAGCCATAGAATAGCATCCTTGTCCGTGTGAAGACGAGGCGTCCCGAACCCATTCCAATTCCAGGCCTGCTCAGCAGCAGAACGCTGGGCACACTGCACTGTCCTCATGGGCAAAGCGGCTGCTCTCCAGGGTATTCCATGGCCAAGATTTTTCTGTCCATCTACCATCTGCGGAAGGTCAGCAAGATCTGACTGACTCTGTTACCAAGTACACTGTCCACACGGACCAGGAGTAGACTGATCCGGTGGGGCATGTGCCACTGAAAGATCCAGAGGGGGAGGACAATGAGGGAGCTGAACTTGGTTCTCCTGCTTGTCTGAATACACACCAACCGTGGTGGCATTCGGTGTTATCTGGACAGTCTGTCCATGAGGTCCAACTCGAACAACTTGGGAACCCGGTCGATCGCCCTCCTCTCTGGCAGGCTGATCTGCTGGGTCACAAGTCGCTCTGTCGGGGGCACCACAGGACTTCGAGGCTTTCCTGCCCCACTGCCACTTGGTGACAGTGCTGGGAATGGGGAGCTTCAGCCAACTCATGCAGCCACGGAAACAGCGAGTGCCGCCCGTCTGAGCCCCCGGTCGAAAGGGACGGCTGCAGCTCCGGGCAGTGGCACAAGCCTCTTCCCCACGGATGCCACCAGCACGAATTGGCAGGCAAGGGCACGGTCAGCCACGGTCACTCCTGGCAGCCTCATCCCAGCAGGACGTGCCCCCACAGCCCCTGCACTCTGAGCTAGAACTGTGAGCTGCGCTCTGCTAGAAGAAGCCAGCCGGAGCTTGGCTTGCACCCTGCTGCCGGTCCTTCCAGCTAGTATCTGCGGCACCCTGGGGCAGGGAGCTGAACCATGTTCTGCGCGGCCGACTCGAGCAGGCTGAACTGAGTGCGGCCCGCCTTGCATCATTTCGGCTGCCCACCCCTTTGGCCGGCTCTGGCAGCTGTCTCCAAGTGCACCTTCTCAGAGCTGCCTCACTTCCACCCTATGCAGTGGTTTGGCTGGTACTTTGCACTGCAGGTTTGGACAGCCTGGCAAGCCACTGTGGGGGACACAGGCCCTGCAGCAGGCTATAACCCAAATTTGAGCCACCCTGACAAAACAATGCCGGGTTTGGAGAGCATGTTAGGTCACTGTGATTTGGAAGCCACAGTGGCTTAGTGTGTTTTGCAACGCCACTCAGACCCTGGGTCTTCCAGTGCGCTTCAAGAATCTTCAGTGGAATTCTGGGCTCTTTAAAGACTGTATGGTTAAACATTAATCTAGAGCAGGGGTGAGCAGAAGGTAGATCTCCAGATGTTTGGGACTTCAGCTCCCAGAAGCACCTGCCAGCAAGTCCAACAATAAGAAGTGCTTAAGACCAGAACATCTGGCAACCTATTTTCTGCCCTGGCGGAGACAGTTGAAATGATTCCCAGGTCTTCTTCCATGACAAACCTCTTTAAAGACACTTCATTTTTGCTTCCTAATATCCACTGTTTTGAAAAGCAAAACAATGACCCATGAAAACAGAGTTGCCTGAATGAAGAGAGAATCCATTACTCATAATTCATTTCCCACACCCTTTCCCTGGCTTTGGACCTGAAGCTTTAATCTTCTGTTGCAAATATCTGTAGCTTACATCAATGTAACATTTTGTATAAAAATACTATAAAAGAGAAAGACTATAAAGGTAAACAAAGCCAAACACAGACAAGATGATTACATTTGGTATAAACTGTTTCTGTGTTAGTGAAAGGAGATAGCACTGAAGCTACTGCTCCGCTGCCCGGGCTCAAGCTGAAACGATGCAAACAAGACCAATGTTTTAACTTTAATCCCAACTCTTTCATCTCTAGCCCAACTCAAGCTCATTAGGAAGGTGACCCAGATTTTTTTTAAAAATTCTGGGACTGAAGCAAAAACAGCCAAGCAATGTAAGTGCACACTTTCTCATTCCCTCCTCCCCATTCAGGTTTCTGTCATCCGGTGTTTACCAAATGTTTTGGACTACAATTCCTAGCATCCATGGCCACCAGCAACACTGTCCAGGGCTGATCGGTTGTGAAGGCTAAAACAACTCGAAGGCATTGGGTTATTTATTTCTTTATTTACTTAAGGCTTTTATAAACGGTTCGATTAGCAACAGCTCTCAGAACGGTGTACAAGGTTATGGAAGGTTTTTCTGATTACTGCATTGAACTAAAAGCTAGAGCTGCAATTCCCAAGCATTGTACTAAGAATTATTTCTTTGTTTGGGCCTGAAAAAGAAAGGAATCCATTCACAAAGGATTTGCACTTCAGTGAATCAAAACCATAAGGGAGAGCATCCCTCAGATTTATGGCTCATAAAACAATAAAGGAGTTTATCAAGGTGAAATAAAAGCGTGCGAATGACAATCCTATAACATGTGGGACAGCAGGACAGGAAAAATACAAGATCAAACCGAGCTAAAAACAAAACAATAAAGGCAGCAAAATTAAATCAGCAAGACTACATGCTGGCAAGCCCGTGACTTGGTGCCAGAAAGCTAATCAAAGTTACTGCAGGCGATTCTCCCTAGAAAGGGCATTCCATATTTATTTATTTATTTATTTTTCGATTTATATCCTGCCTTTTTCCTACAAAGGGCTCATGGCAGCTTACATCATTCTCCTCCTCCATCTTATCCCCACAACAACAACCCTGTGAGGTAGGTTGGGCTGAGAGTCTGTGACTGGCCCAGAGTCCCCGCTCAGCCATGGAGCCAACTGGG